AGAGAAAGGGAGAGAGGGGGGGGGCGGGGAGAGAGAGAGAGAGAGAGAGAGGCTGAATGGCAAAATTGAAATATGGGTCGAATTGCGGCCGCAATCTATTTCGCAGTCGGAATGATTTTTTAAAATTTATTTAGCATTTTTTCTGGAAAGATCACAACAAAATCTACGAGTACTCAAATTTTCAGGTTTTTTCACGCATTCTTCTGAGCGCGAAAACTCAATGAACTTGGAGTACTTTTTTAGTTGGCCCAGGCATGGTTGAGTGGCAAAAATGGAAAACGTGCTGGATCGGCGCGATGATTATTTCGCAGTCTAAATGATTTTTTGTAAATGTTCTATTATTATTTGTGGAAAGAACACGACCTCATCTATAGATTCTCCAAATTTCAGATTTTTGTGCATGTTCGTCTGAGCACAGAAAATCGCCAAAGTTGCCTCTTGCAAAACGCCTGTTTCGGTGTGCCTGACCTCCCTGTTTTGAGAAGACGGGGCTCAACGCCTGGGCCTGAGGGCCCTTTTGCAGTTCACATGCCCTCACTTCTTTTTAGGGTCCGCTTCTACCCGAGGACTGGTCCAATGCCCCCCACTTCTTTTTGCGGTCCACTTCTACCCGAGGACCGGTCCTTCGTTTTTCCAAAAGTCCCGGTTCTACCAGAGCTAGCTGTAGGTAGTCCGCAATTTTGGCAAGGACCGGTCCCCCAAATTTTTTTGCCCCCTAAGAACCCACTTTGCGTCCTGGTCGCCCGCCGCCAAAAATGCGACACCTTGACACAGATGCGGAAGCCCACTATACCGCAGCCTAAGGGCTGCGAACTGAACTTAACCTTCACCCTAAAAAGCACCCCAGGAAAGCTATTTTAAGGTAAACAATTCTCTAATAAAACTAAAAGAGTTCAAAATTATGGGAAACTCACAGGCAAGGCAACGTCAGAAGTCAGTAAAGAGCTAAGCACCGCCTCGAGAATAGAAGCGAGTAATAGAAAGGCAAGACAAAACCTGCCAGAACCACCAGTAGAAACAGCTAAATTTAATCTCATACATAGACAACCAAGGACCCCAATGTGTGAATGCTTGCTATTAGCAGCAAAGGACGAACTGAAATGTGCAGAATGGAACAGACAGGGAAAACAAGCAATTCAATTGATAGTAAAGATCCTGCCTGTACCTCAGCCTGCATTATATAAAAAAAAAACATCCTGACAATTGCGAGGCCACAGCCTCTAAGAGCCTCATAAGGCCCCAATTTTGCAGCCCGCCAGCCGCCCTAAGTGAAGGCAGGCTCGAAAAGGCCCTCAGGGCCTTTTTCTGGCCACCACGCAACTCAGGGAAATTCAGGCAGTTGTGCAGCGCCAGTTGGTTGAGTAGACCCAGGCCCTGGGCCGCCTGTGTGAATGTACGTGCAGCAGGCCCTGGGCTGGATACGGGTACCGGGCCAAACACAGGCC